TATATTTTTTTTTTTAATTGAATATCAACTCTTTGCTTCCTCAGGCCCACTCTCCAAAATGTTTGGTAAGTTTAGGAAAGAGGTCATATCATGCAAGTACACATATTTGTTCTAGTTCACTCCTTCACCGTTCCTGGCAAGACTCCAACCAGCACTCTCAACATCTCCTTCCTCCCCACTCTGCTCTCCTGTTGTCTCTGCAACAGCTAGGTGCTGTCAGACACAGAGAAGACCACCGTGGCAGGGAGAGTGGTACTGAGAGCTCCAGTGACAAACAGATTTGGAACCAACGTGAAAGGGCTCTCATGTTTGCCTTGCAAAAAAAGCAAAGCTCTGTACAGATGACAGCCTCATTGCTTCTCTCCTAGTGCTGGCAATAAAAATACACTGAATACTATTAAGACCTTTTAGACCCAGATGTCACCTTTGGCCTTGATAAGAAGGTGACCCTGGGCATCCTGGCCAGTGATTTCGGACATGTCCATCTAACATATACCACAGTTAAGATCAACTGATACAAACATGGTGTTAATAAATGCCTTTGCATAAATGTGATTCTTGATTAAAAAAATAAACTTGAAAACTTGGCTGCAGACATGTAACTGAGATGACTTGCAACACCATTTAGGTTTCCTGATAATTGCTTCTCCAGCTACATCTGTCCTTCTTTCCTGAGGAGAACAGAGAGTACCACTGTCTGAAGATAGGCTTAATAATGTATGCTGCTATGAACCAAACTCATGGCAGCCCTCTGAACACCTGTAGGTCATAGTGAGTCAGCTCGGTCTTCTGCAGACTGTCAGCTGATGGCACCCTAGCAGCCTGGTTCCAGCGCAGGCAGGATGGGGGTAAGAGGAGGGTTCCTTTGGCTTCCTAAGTCACTACAACAAAACCAATTTCTCTCATTCGGGATAAGACTGATGAGCGTCACTGCAAAATGATCTGCTGACAAACTTCAAGCTATTCCAATATCTAATAACCACAGGAAGAGGGAGCGAGAATCCTGGGGATAAAGTACTGCTCTTCAGAATGTGATCCTTTTTAAATTCTTGATACTTCACCTTGTTCCAGAAAGGATTTAAAGGGAGATGCATCAGGCTAGTGACTATGGCTCTACCAGTTAACAGTCCAGATGTGTAGCTCTTTGCCTCAGACCCTGGGCTAGCATCCTGATGTGTGTTCTCCAAGAACCTCAAATTGGAACGCATTCCATACTACTCTGGGCTGAGAGCAGAGTGCTGCAACATCACCTCTTGCCCATCTCACCACAGTGGGTCCAATGCCACACGAGATGCAAAGGAAAAATTCCTGGCCCATAACCTCTTAGAAGAGTCAAGATGTCCAACCAAGTACAGTTTCTAAGCTTGTCCTACCTCAAGGACAAGGCTTGCTTAGGGCAAAAATAAACCTTGTTATAGTTGTTACAAGGATTAAATAAGAAAAAGCCCATACATGCCAAGAATTACGTTCAGTTTAACTGGATGAGGCATCTTTGTGGTCTTCCTCCTGCAGGGGAAGAAAACGTTTCCTTTCTTCCCTTCTAGGTTCTCTGTCTGGTTAAATCAACTCCCCTAGACCAGTGGTCGGCAAACTCATTAGTCAACAGAGCCAAATATTAACAGTACAACGATTGAAATTTCTTTTGAGAGCCAAATTTTTTAAAGTTAAACTATATAGGTAGGTACATTGTTATTAACTTAATTAGGGTACTTCTAAGGCTTAGGAAGAGCCACACTCAAGGGGCCAAAGAGCCGCATGTGGCTCACGAGCCGCAGTTTGCTGACCATGACCCTAGACAATTGGAGAAGGGGGTAGGTTACTGGGGCTTCAAAGGGAAAGAAGACAATTCACAGGGAGATGGGAAGACCCAACTTTTGGTAAACAAATGTTTGCCATACTAGGCAGAAATAGAGGACCTTGGACTTTGAACAAACAGGACCTCCCTCCAGCTTGCCACACCTAGCCCATACTCTCTGCAGTTATCTCTGGCGATAACTCTCTTCCTGGACCAGGCCTTCTATCTAAATTCATTTGGGTAGTTAAAGGGGAAGTGAAAAGCTCTTGCTGAGTCTTCTGGACCTTGACTGACTTCAGCTGAAAGTAACCCACATGCCAAAGAGGCAATTTTGGGGAGGCTTATTCCAAACCCCTTCACTCTCACCCGACCCTTTTTCTTTCCCTTGAAACTGATGGTGTAACCTAAGACTTCCCAAAACATGTTTGTAATATGACTGTCATTTTTAAAGATAGACTTTTGGGTAAGAATTAGAAAATAAATACAGGCCCACTGATTTCTCATGGAAATGGATCCTAAAGAGTCCAGCTCTCACACACAACTTGATTTTCTACATTCCCTTTAAAAGAATATAAAGGCAAGGCCGAAAAAGGGGCTTAGTAATAAGTCTGACCAAAAGTAACATTACAGCCCAATAGGCTCAGTGGTTGAGCATCAACCTATGAACCAGGAGGTTACGGTTCAATTCCCGGTCAGGGCACATGCCTGGGTTGAAGGCTAGATTCCCAGTGTGGAGCATGCAGGAGGCAGGTGATCAGTGAGTCTCTCTCATCATTGATGTTTCTATCTCTCCCTCTCCCTTCCTCTCTGAAATCAATAAAAATATATCTGTTTTAAAAAGTAACATTATAGACATGACCATAAATTCTAACTGGGCAGGTCATGGTGGGTAGTCAGGCACAGGACTATGAAAGGTTTATCTTTGCCTTAAGCAAGCCTTGTCCATTGTTCTTGTGCAACTAGGTTTACATACTTTTGAAATGACAATAATTGTCTTTCCCAGACCTTTTCTGTAACCACCCTTGAGGGAGCATATATAATCTTAACTATTGTGTACCTCCATTTCTCCCACTTCATGTAATCTTCCTTACATCCCTCCTTAATCCCCAATGTATAAAAGAAATTGCCAAACTGTCATTCTCCAGAGCATCTGAGCTCTAGCATGTCACCAGTTTGACTCAAATAAACCCTTACAAACAATTTCTACCGGCTTGGACATCTCTGACTTTGAAATTTATTTGGAGTAGTGAGCAGGATTCTGAAGAAGCCCAGGCAGGATCACCCTGTGGACCCAAACCTGGTGCTAGGTACCACATGGCCCCCTTGTGCCCCACCAGCCCCTGCTTTGCATGGGGTGAACTTGAGTAAGTTTTCTCTTGGAATTCCAACTTTAAGTGGCAGGTCCTAACTTTATTTGAGCTGTTCTTATAAAATCCTCGAGGTGGATATGGGTTGAGATAACCCAGGGAAAGGAAAAGAAAAAGTGGGTGACTGCTTTTAATTTGGGCTTTGCTTACTGAACGTCTGAATGAAATCTTTGCTGGTTAAATGAGAGACTGAACTCTCTTTAGCTCTGAAGGAGAAAAGACACTTGTGGGTGACTGCTTTTAATTTGGGCTTTGCTTACTGAAAGTCTGAATGAAATCTTTGCCGGTTAAATGAGAGACTGAACTCTCTTTAGCTCTGAAGGAGAAAAGACACTTGCTTCCCCAACCCAATCTTGGGTATTCTTAGATGACTAAGGATCTTTGTGAGGTGCCTGAGGAAAAATGTCCTCTAGAGCAGCGGTCACCAAACTTTCCGACCTCACAGACAACCAGTGGTCTGCAGACCACTGGTTGGCGACCACTGCTCTAGAGTGTGAAATAGTCTTATTGGGATATCTACCATATGATCTAGAGACCTTGCATGTAAAGGCTGGTTTTCCCTCGAAGTTTGTTCAGACTCTAGAGATCTCAAAGGAAATGGAAATTAATGTGGGAAATCGGCAAGCCTAACCCAGTCAGCCTCCCATTAATACTCCTGCAGGAAGATTGCCGAAATGAGGATCCTTTGATACTTCTCAACTAATCTTTGCACGCACAATTAGAAAAAGCCAGCTATAAAATTCGGCAGAATGAATGGAAAGCATATTTAATTGGTCTCTCAAAGATTCAAAAAGAGAATTTAAATAAATGGATCAACCTATGATGTTGTTTAGGTGGCAAACCAATTCTTTTAAGGTATTAAAAATAGCTGTTCTTACTTTAAAAGGGAAAGAACATTTGAAACTTGCTTAACTTGTCAAGGACAGATACAAACTGTGTCTTTTTTGTTGTTTTCTTTTTGTTTTTTGTAAGTTTCTTCTTATCCCAACTGCCAAAACAAAATTTGGATCCAAATTTTTATAAACTAGTGTGTTTTTCCTTAAGGCTAAGGTCTCTGTTTATGTCTATGTATGTCTATGTATGTATGTTGTAAATGTGAGATAATTTTTCTACCTCTGGGTGGTATTGTTAAAATTAATTTAATAAATTAAAATTAACTGGTTTGAAGGCAAGTGGTTGTAAGGATTAGGTATTCTAAAATTCTCAGAAATATAAAAACTCAAATGCTTTTCAAGTTCATGTAATCTAAAGTTAATCCTTTAAAAGTTAGTTTAAATTTGTTGGTTTAAGGAGAATAGACATATCTTTTGAGTTATTGATATTAAATATTT